TTTTTACCTCAGTCCTCAGATAATCAATTAATTGGATAATTATCAATTAGCTAATTAGCAAAAATTTAAAATATTTTTACAGGCTCAAAATGATCGGAATAGCTTAAAACACGGAGAAAAGTAGTTTTTACAAAAACTTCGAACATTTTTCACTTACATTTTTGTTCGACAAAAGTTATCTAATTGCATGAACCGTGGAGAAGGCAACCAAAGGCACATTTGAAATCGAACCGATAGCCTGTTGTACTACGGTAATGTCATAATATGTAATAAATAAAACCTCTCTGAGTCTGTACTGTTAATCGTGCTAATCTGAACCGTCCTACCTGTATTTTTTCCACGTTTCATGCTACCCTGTTCATTATTACTTTAGCCGAAACATTTTTTTGGTTTTAGCTTAATAGTTGGTTCCTGAGATACAGAGTTCTCCTGATTTCGATAAGAGCTTGCGTCATTTAGACATTTTCATAAACATCCTTTTTCAAGATGCCGAGAAATTGCAGTCTCCGTTTTTTGTCGAACTCCAAAAACTGAATTATGAATTAATATGTGTTTTCTTTCGAACATACGTGTAACGTGACATTTGGAATTGTATATTCGGTTTAGCCGCTATATAGGTACGTTTCACCACTGGAAACTTACAGTGAATTTTAGAAAATTGACCATGGAATAACTATGCTAAATAGTAAATATGCTGTCTATGTAAGTATGTAAACAGTTTTCTGCACAGTCTCCAGGCTCCCCAGTCCTTTTCCCGATTGGGACGGATCCAGTTATTCTCTCTGTCGAATTATTTCCAATCGAATTATAGGTTTTAATTTGGCCCTCGAAAGCCTTCAAGTCTCCTAGTAATTCATTCTTTTCCCATCACAAAATATGATATCAATATTGCTGAAGTGCTATAGTCAGGCAACAGTTGATCAGGCGATCTGCAATTCTAGCGATTAAAAGTCTTGAGGTCACGCATATAGGGCCCCGCTGACCCCGCTGCGGGGGGGGGGGGGGAGCCATCTTATCCTCAATAACTCACTTTTAATCGGAGGGATTTCAATATATGGATTGGGCGCAACTGTCGTACTCGTATCTGATCAAGCAGTTTTGACAGGGGTGTAGGAAGGAGGGGGGGGGGGGACAGGCGGGCGATCGCCCCTTCATAAAATCTGGGCAAGGGTGAAGGGGCCAAAAAGGGCCAACTTTTTTATTTAGGTTTCTAAACATTTTTGGGAAAACCACTTTTCTCCACGTTTCATGCTACCCTGTTCATTATTAGTCGAAAATATTTTCGACTTATCGAGAATGACTCGGACCGAACATTTTTTTAAGTCAAAACTTTTTCGAGTCCATCCCCTTTGCATGTACTGTAATTAATTATGAAACTCTAATATCCTGTGGTTAACGTTTTTCAGTTTCAGTTCTTTTATTTATTTCGATTTAGTAATTCCTGATTGCTAAAATCTGCCGAGATTTACTGAACTCCAACTACAAATGTAAGTGATTTATTTTAGTATTCTTGAAAACAAAAATTCACGAAGTTTTTTAAAAAGCCTTTTTCTCCATACCACGTTTCATGCAATTAGATAACTTTTGTCGAAAAAAAATTTAGAAATTTTTTTCAGTCTTGAAAAAAAAATGTAAGAGAAAAATTTTCGAAGCTTGATAATTATCCAATTAATTGATTATCTGAGGTAAAAATTTTGCGGACGTCCTAAGTAGATGGTCCCTAACCTCTTCCCTTACCACATTATTCAGAGATCCGGGCCCGTCTGAAGTACTGCGAAGGAGTTGGTCAGTTGGTTCCATGAGTCGCTGCATCATCGTAAATCTCTCTGACTGAGTCGTCAGTATCACTGTTTCTTCCCTTATCGATATCACTGACCACACTGATTCTTGTACTCTTTCTTTGTCGTAAGCCCACCTCTCTCTTAAACTTGGAGATCAGGAACTCTTTGGCGGCTTGAGATTACCTTGTAGGTAAAAAGTCGCTCTGATAAACCACAACGTGACTGCTAATCGGATTCCTATAGATTCGGATAACCAAATACCAGTAGTATGTTTTACGCTCAAATCAAATGTAGAATAATCTAGAAATCCAATATCAACCAACTTGATCAACCAACTTGATCAACCAACTTGATCAACCAACTTGATCAACCAACTTGATCAACCAACTTGATCAACCAACTTGATCAACCAACTTGATCAACCAACTTGATCAACCAACTTGATCAACCAACTTGATCAACCAACTTGATCAACCAACTTGATCAACCAACTTGATCAACCAACTTGATCAACCAACTTGATCAACCAACTTGATCAACCAACTTAATCAACCAACTTGATCAACCACTTGATCAACCAACTTGATCAACCAACTTGATCAACCAACTTGCGGACATAGCACATTGTTTAAATACTGCACCTAACGCCATTATTGATTATACATTATAAGATCAAAGAATATTGAAAGTAAAATTGTTAGCTACGATCCCGGCACTTTTTTCCAGTCCCGGTCGATCCTTGGTAGTATTGCTATAGGAGAAATGATTAGTTGTTAAGGCCGCTATATTATCATTATTAATCAAATGTTTGGCACACAGCCCCCATATAATAGTGGTGTTCAGGTCAGGAGCAGGGGAGATATAATTTTTAAAATTTTATTCTTTGTAATTTTCAATAACCTTGTCTAGTCATTGACTACTGATAATTATATCTACATTTTTCAATGTTAGGGTAGAGACTACTGGTAGGAGCGATGTACAAATAAAACGCTTGATCGAGACAGACTTTAAGTTCGTCATATTTTAAGCGTTTAATTTCTTCGACATTTTTCATGAATTTTTTACCGTTAAGTTTTTTCGAACTATTTTTTTTAAATGCCGAAAATCGAATCAGCAAATCCTTGACATTACATAAAAATAAAATTCTGAATGTTTACTGCAAATATTTTCGGTTCTGAGATAGTTTATAAATTAATCATCAATAGTTAATAAATTAATCATCAATCGTTATAATCACAGCTATCACGATTTCCAGAGCTTCAGTCACAACTGTCACTTGTTAGCAGTGGATGGTCTCGAAAAATCAGCCGTGGGCGATGGTGTGATATTTTCTTATCGTTAAAACGTGACATCATGATTGCTACCTGCCCGCTAAAACAAATACCAAACGTAAACAACAGATCGGTCATCTTGCATATCATTGGTATTTTAAGAATTTAAGAATTCGCAGAACTTTAGAACCCAAAACTAAGCACTTTTGGCTCCGAATCTACTCGTTAATAACCAGAGATCTGTCCGGTCGGTCCGAATCAGCTGATAATCTTAAGCAATAATATCAATAAATGTGTGTGTGTGTGTGTGTGTGTGTGTGTGTGTGTGTGTGTGTGTGTGTGTGTGTGTGTGTGTGTGTGTGTGTGTGTGTGTGTGTGTGTGTGTGTGTGTGTGTGTGTGTGTGTGTGTGTGTGTGTGTGTGTGTGTGTGTGTGTGTGTGTGTGTGTGTGTGTGTGTGTGTGTGTGTGTGTGTGTGTGTGTGTGTGTGTGTGTGTGTGTGTGTGTGTGTGTGTGTGTGTGTGTGTGTGTGTGTGTGTGTGTGTGTGTGTGTGTGTGTGTGTGTGTGTGTGTGTGTGTGTGTGTGTGTGTGTGTGTGTGTGTGTGTGTGTGTGTGTGTGTGTGTGTGTGTGTGTGTGTGTGTGTGTGTGTGTGTGTGTGTGTGTGTGTGTGTGTGTGTGTGTGTGTGTGTGTGTGTGTGTGTGTGTGTGTGTGTGTGTGTGTGTGTGTGTGTGTGTGTGTGTGTGTGTGTGTGTGTGTGTGTGTGTGTGTGACTGATCTTGACAGGGAAGTTCATGGAATTATAAATCATTTAAGGACCTATAAAGAAAACTGTGTATAATAATAAGATCATGAGTCCAATCACAAGTGTCGGCTGCCCAATCTAGATCTAGCTACCATGGGAAGATGACAAATCAAAACCAATTAAAAACTGTTTGATCAGATACGACAGTTGCGCCCAATCGATATTGAAATCCCCCAATTATAATAAAAGTAAACTTTATTCAATCAACAAGAATTGCGCCCGTTTGTTCGTTTTGGTGGACGCCGGACGCTCGATTTCCGTTCACTACAAGCTCTGATATAATTGCTACACGAGGCATACAGCGTGTGTCAACTCTGATCAGATAACGTCATAATATTGAATTTTAAATACGGGAAACACTGATCCAATTCAATTGCTCATTGCTGTAAAAATTGCCGTAGAACTTAAATAGGTAGACGCCAGACGGTAGTGCGCCATCGACAGTGAGCCGCGCGTGCCGACTGCATGTAGGATGGTTTTTTAGCGCTAATTTCAGCCAGCACGAAATTCTTGAAACAAATGCATATTGAATAACCTTCCCTCGATCTAATTTTATCAAAAATTGGTTTGCTTACTGATAGACTTACAAGAAAACTGTCCGAAAAAGTTGAGGCATATCCAATCATCAGACATTATGTTACAGCTCACGTACAAATTGGACTTATTACTGTCGTTTTGAGAATCTGACATGGCGAATCAGACCTCGTCACTGATTGGGAACCTGTTAATGGCCTGTTAGGGTGTGGGAAACGGGCGCAACCATCGGTAGGCCCAAATATCATACTTTTGATATCAGTATTAATTACTATTGTATTTTATATAGATGCCATCGTGGAGTAGGTGGTCTATAACTGCATCTTTTCAGTGTCACTTTGTGATAAGCCATCAAATTGAATAGAAATGAATGTTAAGCTTATCATATATCGTAATTTTACGCCTTCAAATTACAAATTAAGTCATTATTATAGTACAGAAATAAAGTTAAGAGACTCGCAGTTCAGATCGCTGCGTCCATTGGTTCATCAATTAAATTTCTGACCAATGAGCGCACGTTATTTCATCTAATCACAGCGCCTATATCGCCCTATATCGTCCAATCACAGTACGTTATATTAAGTCATAATTAATCAAGTTCATCCCTCCAGGTTCCTGCGGTTATACTGTAAATCGGAACGAACAAGAGATAAAGGAGGCGCTAGAGAACTTTGTGATGGCACTAAACAGGACCAAGGTAGGTTTTTTCTTTTCTTTTTGATTTTTTTTATTAAGAGAGGCTAGGTAGGTAAGGTGGTAGAATCACCGTGACGTCTTTGGGTCACAGAGTATGGACCTTCTTTTATTCTTTGAAAGAAATTGTAGTTTAATGAGAGTATCAACGGTCTTGAAAACGGAATGAAATGTTGAAAAACGAATGAAACGTAACTTAATTAGCTCCAATTTCTTCAGGTTGAAAATGTTGAAAAGCAGAGAGAGATAGAAAGAATAAGTACAATGTTGTCAACTACACAAGAAACTGCCGAACGCTTCCGCCACAAAGCTGCTGAGGTAGAGAAATTACTGATATTACTTATTAGAATTAAGAGTTATATAGAAAAAAAACCTTTTAGTGGTTGTACAAATATGAACACTTTATTTGTCAACTTATAGATACAGAATCACGGATATTGGTAATTGGCATTACTGGTGACCTTAGCTGTAGAAAGAATTGAAGTAGAAAGCATAAATAAAATACTTATATCCCTCTCCCCATGATTTACTAAATGGGCTGACCAATCAGCGTTCTAGACTTACATCACGTGACAATGACGAACCAATGTAAGTAAAAGGCACCAAGAATATACTAGAATGTGTAAAAACATGAAGTAAGTAGGTACCTACTAGGTACTATCACAACAAGATCCGTGAGCAGGGAAAATGGCATGTTTGCTAACCACACTAACCACACTAACCACACTAACCACACTAACCACACTAACCAGTAACCACACTAACCCTAGTAACCAGTAACCACACTAACCACACTAACCATACTAACCACACTAACCACACTAACCACACTAACCAGTAACCACACTAACCCTACTAACCACAATAACCACACTAACCACAATAACCACACTAACCACACTAACCACGCTAACCACACTAACCACACTAACCAGCAACCACACTAACCACACTAACCCTACTAACCACACTAACCCTACTAACCACACTAACCCTACTAACCACACTAATCACACTAACCACAATAACCACACTAACCACAATAACCACACTAACCACACTAACCACACTAACCACACTAACCAGCAACCACACTAACCACACTAACTACACTAACCAGCAACCACACTAACCACACTAACCACACTAACCCTACTAACCACACTAACCCTACTAACCACACTAACCACACTAACCACAATAACCACACTAACCACACTAACCCTACTAACCACACTAACCCTACTAACCACACTAACCACACTAACCACACTAACCCTACTAACCACACTAACCATACTAACCCTACTAACCACACTAACCACACTAACCACACTAACCCTACTAACCACACTAACCACACTAACCCTACTAACCACACTAACCCTACTAACCACACTAACCACACTAACCCTACTAACCACACTAACCCTATTAACCACACTAACCACACTAACCACACTAACCCTACTAACCACACTAACCACACTAACACTACTCCCGTTACCAGGCAGACGCACTGGTTGAGGACAAGGAGAAACAGTACTCCGGATTGGAGGGTGAGCTGATAGCTGCTGATTCCGTCCGGGACGCTCTACGGAGGGACAAGGAACAGGTTAACTCTTTATTTGTAAAAAATGTAAACAATTATTTTAAAAACTCCTTATTTATTTTTGGTCAGGACTTTTAAAGCACATAGTTAGCATATTTGTAGGTCATGAGGTGTTTTATAATTTAACTCTGCAGTTATTCGTGCTGGTACAAAATTTCAAAGTGTCATTTTCTTAGAAATCAGGCTACATTCAAGTAAATTTATGCATACATCCCAGAAAGCGGCCATCTCATGCAGGGCAGGATTCAAGATTTTAATTCACAAATTAAGTGACCAAAAATTACCCGACTAAAAAATTAAATAATTTATAATAAATTAAATAAATATAAATAAATATAAATAAATTTGACCAAAACCCATAATCATGGGTAGAGTGAACCGCTGCCAGTGTCTCTCTTTTCCAAACAAAAGAAAATGATATTAATTTGAGGAACCGTCCGCAAATGCAAATTGATACCGAGAATGAAATCGGTCGCTCGCTTTTCCCATTCAATAAGCTTTATTACAATACGTAAGCCGTGAATGAATGGGAAAAGCGAGCGACCGATTTCATTCTCGGTATCAATTTGCATTTGCGGACGGTTCCTCAAATTAATATCATTTTCTTTTGTTTGGAAAAGAGAGACACTGGCAGCGGTTCACTCTACCCATGATTATGGGTTTTGGTCAAATATCATCTCTTTTTGATTATAATGTCAGGATAATTTACACAGTCGAAACTTAATAAGGAGGTAATTTCAACGATTTCGAAATTTTACCTTTGAAAACGTTTCCTTGTGTTTAGGTAGGCATATCTGTCAATAACAGACTGAATATAGCACTTTTTACTCATTCAAGTTGGCATTAAATTCATATATAATGCCATTTTAATATCGTGGGAAAGCAGAATATATTCGAAATCACGAATGAGCAAAATTCTCACCTTTCGCACGTGCAAACTTTGAGCGGACGTTGCGTGCGCATAAAATATTGAATCACCATAAATTTTTGCATAGTGTTATTTAATATATAGTTTGATAAGCATGAAAAGTTTCAGAAGATTTCAAAAAGAACTTGGATCACAACGGGACTCCAAAGTTGGTAAAAATCGTGAAAATAACAATTTTTAGTGATTTTAGCTATTTTAAATGAATTTGGGCGTGTCCCCACGTGTGCAACTTTTCGATTTTCAACTTTAAAACTAGCCTATAACACAATTTAGACCTTAAGGAAGCAAAATTGAGCTCCACAACCCAAGGGATGGCCCAACACCAGAGAATACTAATTCATAACTTTTGTGTTTTTATAAAATTATTCTTCAAAAAAGCACTAACTTCAATAGCAAATATCTTTATGAAGGAGCAAGGTAGGAAACTTTTCTGGTAGATTTTCGGAATGCTTGAACAATTATCTAAGATGAAAATGCACTCAGATTTTGAATAAAATTACTCCTTAATGGTGTAAAATCGATTTGAAAAGTTCATACTTTGTCAAAAATCAAGTTTTAAAAACACTTAATTTGATGACGTCATCAAGTGATGATGATGACGTTAAATTAATTTTCAATACAATGTAAACTGAAGCTTAAACGATTATCTTTAAAACCTGTGGTTCAATATGACTGTAACGTTTATACTTTTGAATCTACGGACACTTAAATGTAGGCTACAATTAACTGCCAAAGCGTCTATACATACATATATATATATATATATATATATACTTCACGACAATCTGTTGTAAAACAGGGGTTCCAGAAAACCCACTTGCCGATACTGCTGAAACATGAATTTTTGTTTACAGTCGATTTGGACAAGGTCTAGACGCCCTGCAAAGTTTCGGATCTCTAACTCAATTTTAACATGGTTTTTAAGGCACCTGAATATGGCGATTTTGGGTTTTTTACCTAATTTCGTATAACATGCTGGCGCGTATTTTGCGCAAATTTCTTAAAAACCTCCATATAACTATTTCTTATTCCTATCATCTTTAACATTGAATTAGAATGTTTTGAACTTAAATATACCTGCTGAACTACTTTCGATGAGTGTTAATGCCTGGAAAACAATAAAGGGGATATAATAGTATAGGGGGTAAATAGTATTGTGAATATAAAGGCGACGGTAATGCTTGCCAGCATTGTGATTAAATAAATTAAATAAATATAAATAATGATAATTTATCTCCAGATTGTGATGTACCTTGAGGAGTTGAGCTCAACGCTACAATTAGACGGTTCTATTTTGGAGGCTGGTATCGAACTAAGGGACGCTATTACAGCGAAATGCGAGCTTCTCGTCAACAATGAGGTAATAAGGTTCCTATAATAAGGTTCCTATAATAAGGTTACTTTATAATAAGATAATACTGTATAGTGTACCTATGTCATGTAAAATCCGGATTTGAACATTATTTATGAGTCGCATAGTTGAATGTTTTCTTGGGTAAATTTCTATTGATCCCGTTTGATGCGACAAGGAAAAGGCTCTTATTATCAAGGAATTATTCAACGTTTCAATGTAGTAAAATCGTTACATCGTATTCATGATATCAAATTATTTGTTATATAGTAGGTAGTGTTGAAAGTATTAAAACCCTATGTCCTATATAATATAGGGCCTATGTCCTATATACTATTTTCTTGTCTTCGAATAATTATCCCACCTATGTAATCTGATAGCCAACAGTTTTATCTGCACAGGGGATACCAGGTTTCTTTTAATTGGGGAATTTTAAGGATTAGAGATCATGTTAGCTGAAGATTACAAGTCGGAAGTCTGCACGTGACAGCGTCCCCCCTTTAGCCCTCCTAGTCCCCCCTTTAGCCCTAGCGTCTTGCTGTTAAGACATGATGCAGCGATCAAAATCAAATGTAGTAATAGCTTAAATCGAATTTTCAAAGGGCGTTCACAACTGTACAGTGCACCTATATATTTTACATACCTATAATACGGTACCTAGCTTTGGTCTGCTCTTATCTTTGCATCACATGAAGTAAACATTCATAGTCATTATACTCATTATTATTTATTAATAGTAATTATAGTCATTATAGTCATTATAATCATCATAGTCATTACTATTAGACAATCTTTCGAGATGAACATCTTTTAAATTTTCAAATACCCAGAAAAATGACTTGTGAAGTCAGCTACGATAACATGTATGCGATAAGCTGCTAATGACTATATTTCATCACAAATCAATTAATGTGATTGTTTGGGCCGTTGCCATTCGTTCTAATCTACTTAGGTCCTAAATATAAATATTCACATAAATCAAAGTAAGATGAATCAGCTTGGTGCCTGGTAGATTAATTGTGATGATAAAACGCCACTCGCCCGTAGATACAGCTATACATATTTACCGAATACTCCACTGTTTCTGACGTCATTCTCCTGTAAAGACCGCATTGCCTTTATTTTATTCCTCCACTTTTGGGTATCGCTGCATAAAGTGTGTTCTAGTTGAAAAGTATAGTACAGCTATGTTCAAGCTCAATAGATTTTTGACCGATTTTGGCCCGTAAATAATGAAATTGAAAATGATCCCCATTTTTACCATTTATTCCTTAAATTTTGCTCAAATGGGCATGGGCATTTGAAACCGACGGGATAGCCGGCCCGTTAAAAGATGCTTTGTCGGATAATGGATATCTGATGTCAACCGGAAAGCATTCTGGGATCTGATACACTCGGTTCCGACTTGCAAACTAGGGTACATGTCGAACTAGGGTACTTGTCGAACTAGGGTACGTGTCGAACTAGGGTATGTACCGTGTCGAACTAGGGTACGTTCGCGAGGGAGCTTTAGTAAAAAAGAGAACAGCCTTTCTGTAAAACTAGAACTATTTGTAATTAATTAATTACTTACAGTTACAGGGACCGCTAGTAAAAGAGAGAACATCCTCTCTAATTAGTAATTAATTAACTAATAACAGGGAGCACTAGTAAAAGAGAGGACAGTCTCTTTGTTCAATTAATTGATAATTAATTAATTAATAACAGGGAGCACTTGTAAAAGAAAGAACAGCCTCTTTGTTCAATTAATTGGTAATTAATTAATTAATTAATTAATAACAGGGAGCACTTGTAAAAGAAAGAACAGCCTCTTTGTTCAATTAATTAGTAATTAATTAAATAATTACAGGGAGCACTTGTAAAAGAAAGAACAGCCTCTTTGTTCAATTAATTAGTAATTAATTAAATAATTACAGGGAGCACTTGTAAAAGAAAGAACAGCCTCGCTGTACAACGCGCAGAGGAAGGTAAAGGCTCTGAAACAGCAGTTAGAACAAAAGGAATTGCAGATGAACCTACAGAGACAGAAGGTAGCCGCTCTGGAAGAACGAATCACTCGGCTCAATCAGGTACTATTTTTAGTTTTAACTTTTATCACTAATTTAACTGCGATATAACTGCTCTATAACAAGTACAAAGGGTTATGGAATTCCATGTGGTGGATGGAGATCGGAGATGTAAGATGAGTAATTAAATTGTACACTCTACTGATTCTTATGAATATGACTAATGACTGAGTTATATGACTTAGTTTTACATGCCTAGCACCATGATACGTAGAGTCTGCATAATGATGTTGTACGTGTTACCTTCTATGACGCTGATGCACTTGATCTCGAAGATTCTAAGGTTCAGCATTATCAACATAGGCAAATGATGAATGAAAAACATTTATAGTTGAGATACATAATGTATTGGTCTCTTACATTTCAGGGGAAGTTAAATAAATTATTTAAGACAAGTGAAACAATCAATTTGGACAAATAACTAATATCAAAAGTTGTAAAACATGTACTTATCCGAATATTTGAAAGACAATTGGATATAGACTTAAAACACCTAATTATATACCTAATACCAAATCTATTTTTAATTTTACTGAGAGAAAAACGTCCGGACATGCAATAGGCTATCTTATTTTTTCTGTTTTCTAACAAATGTGCTTCAAGACAATTTTTGAAATTATGAATTCTTCAACCCAAATTTCTATTTTGGGTCAATATTCTTATTTCTTATTCTCGTCTTCGTATTTGTTCTCGATCTGTTCCTCGGCATCATAAATTGCTCTGAAAATAGAATCAATCATTAAATGTTATTCAGACCTATTACTATTGTATAACTGAGTTCATAACTTGTTATTTTCGATCATTGAACATCATGATATCATAAAAACCTCAAAATTTCGCACAAGCCCTCCTCCTTGTAGCATATAAAGTCAGCTATAGCCCCTCCCAATGGATTCATCACTGCTTTGGTTTCCTTGTTAAACATCTGCCTAGCAATGTCTTTCAAGCCCTCCTGTATCGCTTCATTATTCGCCTCCATATTTCCCAGTAGCTCTCTTGCCTTGGCACACATCTCGTTTGTCTTATCAGTATCTTCGTCACAATTCACCTTTTTCAGCTGCATTGCATCTAACAAATTATCAGCCTTCCAGGGTTTACAATCGGCGTCCTCAAGTTTGCATGTGTATTCTTCAATGAGAACATCGAACTTCATAAACAGTTCCAGGGCTGCAGCGGATAATTGGCTGCCAAGGTCTGCTTTTTTGTTCTCAAGTTCAAGGTTAACCGGCTGTGAGACCACTGCCGTAAGTAGGAGGGCCAGGAACAGATTCATCATGAGCTGTTTTGCTAAACTTATCTATAGGGTTGTTATAATTAATTATTAATTATTAATTATTGATATACAGTTGTTTTTTACCATCATTTTGAATTGAACCAAATACCGCCGACAAGAAACGCTGCTTTTAGCATTTAATTCATATTAAATTTTTTTAAATAATTTAAACACAACGATTCTAACATTTGAGAAGAAACTGTGCCAAAGCAGAAGGCAAAGTATACTGCAGGGGCAACTATATTTAACGGTTAAGGATATAAACCCATAATGAAATTTACGCTGATTTTTAATGGGACAACACAAACAAATTCAAACATTTCTCAATGTTACTATGATAGTGATATTGGGAACGAAGCTAGGGTGCCCGAAGGATAAGACAATATCCAATGTGGTGATGTGATGCGTAACAGTGTTAATATTACAATAAGAATAAGAATGATATTACAATACAAGAATGTAAAGAATGATCTTCAAGAGGCTTCCTTTGTGCTGTCTAGGGATGACTATTATTTGCCAATCTATTATTTTCCAACTTGAATAAACGCAGAGTACAGACTCCAGGTATCGTACTCTAGTACAAACAAGAATTTTGCCGCAGTTACACCACGCACGATCAATATTCCCTACAATTTACTTGTACCAGTATTACTTGTACCAGTATTACTGGCAGTAATTACTCCAAGTTAAAAGCTTGACACACGTGATAATAGAGGTTGCATTTTTTGCAAAACTTGAAAAAAAGTGCAAAATATTTACTTATCCGCCACTAGACAATATTTTCCATAAATCACTGGGGATCCGTGCAATTGCATGTATAATAGTAATACCATGTGATGTAAAATATGTTAGGCATAAGGTGAGTTAGCAGTTAATCTGTTAAGTGAGATTTTTAACATTGACCATTATAATTTTATAACATACCTTTGTGAACATTATATGGACTATAACTCATGAGGGTAAAGGAAATACTTCTACGAACATAGTGATAGTGTAAAACTTATACAAAGGATGCCACAATGCTGACAACATGCCGCCACCTCTAAGTCGCCCACAAAAAGCCACTGAGCTGCACAATTTTGCCACTACTCGATAGAATTAAAGATGTTAAGTGATTTAAACCTCATTCTGTCCGATAACCATAATGATAATTTGCCATAGGGTTACATGTTCCAGAAGCACGTGCCTAAGAAAAACTTGTTTACTTGAAGAACCGTGGAAATTTCTGCGAATTCGCCGCGATTTTCGAGATTTTTCTTAGTTTGGCTTGTCGAGGCGCCGCGATTTTTAGCCTAGATAATCGCGATTTTCTTTTGTCCTTGACTTGCAGCAGGTGTTTAGTAATATAATATAATATAATAGATATATGACAATATTGGGAACGAAGCTAGGGAGGCGAAAGAAGATGAAAGGGGGTGCTAAGATCCCATGTCGTACGTAGCATGGGTGATGCTATTACAAAGCAGTGCTTCTATGTAAGAGTGATCTTCATCAGGCTCCTTGGCTCAGTGTATATTATTCAAATTATAAATACTAGTGTAACCCGTGCCTACGGCCGGGACTTCACTATCGCAGTTGAAATGCAAAAGTATAAACCCGCCTATTATATTCGAAAACACGCATTACATTTTCGTAGTTAAAACGGTGCGAAAGTATGAACTCGCTCATTCCAAACATACCACAATTTAATTCTGAGTGCGCCTCACGTATCTAATAGTAACTCTTGATAGTTTTTAGTTGGACGATAACATCATTTACTTTGTCACGCTTATATTATATATATTATATAATAGGTAACAGCTAACATACTATGAACCAGGTAGAAGATGATAGAGACCAGGGCTATGTGAAGCTGAAGAAAGCGCAGAGGAATGTGGAAAAGTTCGGGACAATGTGTCAGGTAAGAATCTCCGATCTGTGATAATTAATTAGGTAATTATAATCAACTAATATATTTCTCGAGAGTAATTTATTTATTGACTCACAAATAATTACTGCGAATTAAGTTTAATACTGGTTGGTCGGGAGCTGTTCCAGAAAAATCGGTAATATGCGAGGAAATTTTGGAGGAAATTTGGTGCCAAAGAGGAAATTTTTAGAAGACAAGATCTTTTTTTTAGTACCTCTAATTACACTCTACTTATCACAGTAAATTGTTAATCGGTTGACATGATACAAATTACTAATCGACCACTAATTGACTAATTGACCACCGGCTGCAGGAGAAGACAGTGGAGATAACGGAACTGAAAGCTAAACTGCACGACAAGGCCAACGTGGAAGAACACCTTGCTGACGCCAATAATAAGATCACTGAATATGGGCGGCAGGTATTTCTTATTATATAAACTGTGACGTCACACCACACAAACTGTGACGTCACACCACACGTGTAATTGGACAGTGAGTCAGCCTGTATTCATATGACAAGCTTTTGACTTTTAGTTTTTGTCTGGTACCGACTTTTTTATTAAAACATTAGAGTAATAGAGTAGTCTTATAAAATAATACTAAACAGCTCCGTGGTTGAAATAATACCTTAACTTTCCAGGTAGCTAAAGTTAACAAGCTGAAGGAACAGCTGAGAGTCGAGCTGGACACAATTCAGAGTGAACTTCGAACAGAGCGTAGCTATTTGAAATCTCACAAGGTTTGTACAATTGTACAGTAACATTTTTTTCCCCGAATAGGGCTTAACATACACAATGTAAACAATCAAAATCCCGATTTACCGAGCGCCTTTTTAACTCCGCGGTAAATTGGGATATAACTCCTTAACTCACCATTTTAGGGGTGTGGTCAGGTAAATCAAGCTACCTTCCATTTTTCCACTGCTCTGAAGTCTGAACTGTCAAATCAGATAATGGATATATTACTGGAAGTCATACATTTTTTAAATCGGCGCTGTTCTGTATTTACGGATTTATTCGGTAAGAATTCGTCATGGCAAGATCTTAACTAAAATAATTTTTTTTAAAGAAGAAAAAACGTTCTGAATTTTGTTTTTTCAGGAATTAGCGAAGGATTCTACGACAAAGCTTAAAAACGAGCTGACAGAAACTATGAGAACGTTAGAAGACAGCAGGAGCAGGGAGAGACAGGTAAGATTGATGACGTCACTATTCATTTTATGACGTCACTATTCATTTTATGACGTCACTATTCATTTTATGACGTCAATATTCATTTTATGACGTCACTATTCATTTTATGACGTCACTATTCGTTAATCATTTCCAAAATTATTAAATCTTCGCGAAAGTTTGTAAACATTAGAACGTACTTCTTTTTTACTGTTTTTTTCTTCAGACCTCCTGGTTGGTGGCATGTGCAATTTTTTTTTTAATGTATTTTTTAAATTTTTTTAAAAAATCTCAAATTATCTCTAACACTCTCAACTAATTTCAATGACACCCGTAACTTTAAATCTTATCCATCTCCGACTTCAGTTGTTAGAATTCCGGAATGTGTTGATTCAATACATTTGAAGTTGTATTAATCATGTTAAATTGGAAAAATGTATGTAAATTAACATTTTTTCAGCTGTTGGAATTCCGGAATGTGTTAGCTAAAGTGATCGGTCTGGAGATAGAGGCTACACCAGTACCTGATTACGAGATAATATCCAGACTAGAAAAACTCGTCGAAGCCCACCAAGTAATTTATAGTTTATAGTGCTTATTATTGAACGTTTTATAGAGATTTTGGAGTGAACATTTTGCTTTTTCATTTCAGTCAATTTTTGTCCTAAAATTGTTACAATTTGTTTTTCTTGTTCTTGCAAAATTCATGTGGCTTATTCTTAATGTAACAACCCGATTAGTTCTATACATATTGTGGTGTATTGATGTTCCAACAATCAAGGGACAAGACATTTGCAAGTCATCTCAATATTTAATTTATCTCACCAAATAGTCCTTTACAACATTGATGATAGTTGTTAAAAGGTTTACTAAAAATAACGATTTTGTCTTTCAGTCGCATCTCCAAGCATCCCAAGCACTAGAAGCTGGTTTAAGACACATGGCATCGGGCTTCAGAAACAGCTACGATGAAACTATGAGTGTTTTGAGTCCTCTCAACAAATCATCTGCAGAGGTCAGCAAGTGATGGGACCTTAAGCAGAATCACGTGACGTCATCATATGCCACACGTGACGTAATCATATGCCACGCGTGACGTCATTTAATGCCACACGTGACGTAATCACATACCACGTGACATCATAATAATCTCACGTGTTGACACGTTACGTTTACTAGACGTCACGAACTGACCACGTATTTTTCGTGGATTATGTGAAACGATTCCATCGAGATTAAGGGATTAGATAGGTAAATATTCGTTTTTTTGAGAAAGTGTTTAAGGGAAAATATAATTAAATATAGTGTATCGATTTTTATGCATACCAGATCAAATAAGTTTTAAATTTAATATTTGTTAGGCTTTCAGGAACAAGGCTCTTTCTCTTTATATAAAGCGAAGCGTTCTCAATGATGATAAGATTTCACCATTATTGAATTTAGTTAACTTCAACTAAAAGTAAATAAGATAATAGGTGGGCCCGCCTTGATTAAGTTTACAATTATTAATTCTAACTTTATTGCTTAACTTAGTGTTCAATCAGTACTTTACTCTTTTTGATATTGAAGTTTTTATGTGTTGAAGTTGTTTGTAGAGAATATAATTATATATTCAGAATATATTATATATCCAGACATAGTCACATAACAGTTCAGTGGTAGAATTATCTTATATTATTATTATCTAAGTTTTACTCCACATGAATAAATATATAACTCGTTACGTGTATTTGATTGGTTTGCTGTACATGAATTTATCGTTAAAACAGGCCAAGGTTTTGGGCAAGTTATCAATTATGATGGCGTTATTTTTGCTCGAAACCTCGTCTCAACACTGCAGTTCGGCTGTCAAAAATAAGCTGGCAAAAGCATGAGGCAGCGGTCATATTTAATACATTTGAAGTTGTATTCTTCATGTAAAATTGTAAAAATGTATGTACATTTATATTTATTCGTATGTGTCTTTCAGAAAAGTTAGTTTTATTTGACAGTATATTTTAAGTCATTCCCATAGATCAAACTCAGAAAGCTTAACGAAATAAAAATTCATTGGCCATTATTTCACAGTTATGACCGAATTTTCTTTCTATTCAGTAACCAATTAATCAGTTAACAATAAATATAATATGTAATAGCATACATAAGGTATTGGAAATCAAAATCCTGAAAACAATGGCGGAACGATCATATTGTTCCTTTTTTAAGTTGTGTCCCATTTTCAATAATTGAAGATGAAATTTAATGGAAATTATCTCAGATTACATTTGATTATTATCCTGACGATTATAAATTAGTCCATCACGTGACAAAAGTAATTTAAGTTAAAATTAATAAACACCAGGCGCTACTGGCCGTAACTTTATCTTTAATTTTAGTTTACATAACCTGGGGGGACCCCAGGCTATAATGTTCATAAACAGAATAGAGATTCGGCGGAATGACAGGCTGAGCACCGCCCAGTAAAGCTTAGAAATAGTTTTTATAGCGTTAAAGTTCAGTTGTTCTAAGAGCATAAGTTCAATTCTATGATGGCCTTGCATCCAATTGCAAAATTAGCTGCACGATATTCTCTATCTCAGAACGCTAACAATTTAATACCATCAGCAAGTGCAGTCCATCCAGCTGATCAAATTATAAAGGGCTTTTCTCTCGGCTTCGCTGATTAAATTGTTGATTGGGGTTGATCATAATTTTCTGATCATATATGATATAGGCGAGGCTACATCTCAAAATGAATGAAATATAATCAACATCTAAGCCATGGCGCATAAGCTCCACTTTTTTTGCTTGTTAATCAAAAGTGATCTCCCTTCATCTATGATCAATATCTGAAAAATGAATTTTCATCTGATCAAGTCCGGTTTGTGCAGATCTTTCCAGCAATTAATTTGGTCAGTACTTTAAGCAAGCGCTGATAAAACAGATGCCCTTAAGTCGTATGTGGTGTGGTGTAACGTTAAGCTTAAGCTTCCCAGAAATCACGCGAGATTTTTAAAGCCAATCTCAATCACGGAGTTGCTGATAATTAAAATGGTATATGATTATGATGAGAATTTTACAGCGATCACGCTAAACCACAGCGCCTTTGCAGGTATAAATAGGAGTTGGGGTAGCTTTCGACGGCAGTTATATTTTTATCCACCAATCTTGTGAAGAGCCAAAGTTGAAATCTCTACAATCGTTGAAATGTCCAAATTTATCGGAGCATTAGTGTTTTTAGTGGTGGCCGTCTGCATCTTTGAGCAAGGTAACTCAAACTGCAGTTAAACTTAGTTTAACTTTAAGTAAACTTTCAATCACATTGTTGAGTTTAATATTTTTTCTCATTATAAAATATATAGATGATATCCAAAGTTTTATCTCCGAATTAAAAGCTAAATGTGGAGTTCAATTTGAACGCGATAATGGATTACAAATTGACTCCTTGAATTGCGTGATCCGGATATTAAATCTGATATATGATATAGTATTAATATTACAATCGTTCCATAATTACATTATGTTTACATATGTTCTGACAGTGATTATTTTATTACTGAAATCCTATTTATGCTATTGAAAAACATTCATTTAACTATCCTAGCCTGACAAACAATCAACCCTACAGGAATATCAGCATCAATCGATCTTGCAGAGGATTCAGGAGAGATGATGATGTCCGAAGTTAACTCTGCCGGTATAGCAGCGTCTGAGGGCGAACTTCTCGACTCGGACATAGTTTCAGAGCACAATGCTGAAGAAGGTGGTTACTTCGGACGATAGGTTACATGACCCGGAACAGCTTGGTCACGTGTTGAGTCACGTGGTCAAGTGACAGTCGTGTGATTGTTGTAGTTGATCTGACAACTCTACGAATGGAGCTGATGGGAAAACTTGGGGTTCCCCGATAAAATCAAATTGGAGTGAACACCAGTGCAAAACATTTCTTGTTAAAGATTTTTTGTGCTATTATTTTAAGAATTTCTTTTCGAGATTTCTTCTGATTAAACCGAGTGTTTTTATGTAACCTGATCGATATTTGCATTGAGAGTTATTTGTTTTTGTTGTTGTTTCAAGGTTAGGCATACAACTTGATTACAGGCCCATTGTGATCGTAATTCAGACTCAATTGGTGAATAGTAAATTAAAAGGAAATCTTGCTGGGAAATTTAGTTGATCTATTGTGAATAAGAGTTTGAAAAAAGTTGCTGAAAATATATCGTATTATGCTGAAATAGAATGCATCTCGGTAGACTTTAGTAGAACAAGAAATAATCAACAGTACGTTCTTCGGGTTTTACAAAATTAAATAACCATAATTATAATCATCCACAAATTATCGAGCACATTAATTATATAATTACACAATCAGAATTAGGTTTTTCTACAAGAGCCACGATATAGCCAAAAAATAGTGTTTAAAAAGGAAGGTCAAAAAGATTCAACAAAACGAATAAAAGGAAAACAATAATATGTCAGATAAAATGCTCAAAATATGCCCTTTTGTTCCTCAGTATGCCCAGAAAAAAACATTTCCTTGTTTTCGGGAGTTAATTAATCAATTAATTAATTAAGCCTTCATATCCGCGTACATGTGGTGAGCACGACGTTGGTTAACGACCGAAATACTTCTGAGGGGCCTGTCTGTCTTGGATACGTAGGTATGAGCATAAGACATACCGTTCTTCTTTTCTTCCGCACTGGCACCTAATTAATTGGTTAAATAATAAATTAGTTTGATAAAGTGCACTGTTAGTTTCTAAAACTGAAAAGCTTTCAAACCTTTGTTATGAAATGTTTGGTGTACCTATTACTTTTATAATTGAGAGTATAGTTATCTTTACGCTTTAAAAGAAATAAAAACTCATTACAGTCATACATACCTTCTCCAACCCAAACGTAGATTGACTTTTCCAAATCAACAATGAACACATCCTTAGGGTCCAAGTCGTCAACTTCAAATGAGCCTTCGGCAACTGTGTCCATCTTTAGGGTTCCTGAATCATCGCTTACCTAGAAATATGATTATGAATTTAGATGTAATTAACATACAAATTATAAGTAATCTACATACTATTCCAGATAAATTATATGTAATTTACATATTATTTGCGAATAATTTCACATTTGACTTGTAGTTGTATTGCAATCGATGAACTTTTCAGTTGTGCTAAGCTGTCTTTGTCAATCATACTCACTACCCATAGGACAGCTGCAACTTATAGAGTTATAGATAGTTCACACTATAATAGATACCTATTACCTTGGTGGATAAGAAGATAAGAAAATGAGATAACAATTGAAAATATGATAACTCACCCTGATAAGCTTCTTGGAGTGTGGTCCTGGAGCTGGAGCCTTTTCCTTCTTGTTCTTATCTCCTAGTACTCCCGCTACCTGAAGTTTACACGTTAAGTTACATGTTAGGTTAGTCTCCTAGTTAGTATAAGTTAGGTTATTACATGTTAAAGTTAGTAAATAATAATATCATGGCTAGGATTAGTGTCATTATGACGATACCTATTACACATAAGTGATGTGCTGTGAGAGCAATTACGATGAGGATATTTTTCTGACTAGATGACAAATTAGAATCCTCACATGTTTCTCGCAATTAGAGGCTACCAAGATTATCCAATTTAAACGGTTTTTAACGGTTATTATGGCAGATGGTTAGTTCAAAAAGGGCGCCAAAATAACGAGGGATCGATTGATCAGTTATGAATAAATCTTCCGTTTTTATTAAATTTACTGGTTAAAGTCAGTAAAAGTTTTTAGTTTTCTATTCTTATTACACCAATCACTATATCAAATTTACTACTAATTTGTTAGAAGCTAATTAATTAGTTGAAGTTAATTAATTAGTTAATTAGAAGTTAATAATCATACCACATCGTGTTTAAGAGGGTCATCGTCAATAGTTTCGACCTTGGGTCGTCCACATCTCTCACTCTTTATCTTCAGACAGTGGTGCATTGCTTTTACCTGGAATGGAATGTGACTGTTTAATATTTTCAAAATGAAATGTTTTGATCCTTTCAACGCTCCTAAGTTGAAAGTTAATACTAGAAATCTTCCTTTTGTTACTGTCTTATCCCCACCAACTACTTACATTAAAAGTTAAACCTTAAACTCCCGTTGCTGAATTTCAGACGAAAGCAAAAATTCAGCCAGATTTCTATTTCAGATCCAATATTACCTCCTATTTCAGATCCAATATTACTTTCTATTTCAGATCCAATACCATCTATTTCAAATCCAATATTACCTTCTATTTCAGATCCAATATTACCTTTTCGTCTTTGTCACAGTTGGGAGTATTGATCTGGTAGATCTGGAGACCGTTGTCAAGAACAAAGACATCTTCCTTGTTGAGTGATTGCTTGTAGAGGCCAACCTCCTTGATTACAGTGTTAGCGTAAGTGGTACCTGGTAAGTTGTAGAGATTACATTTTTTTACACGGACCACAGGCTTTCATTTTTCTCAACTACCAATGCTCTATATAGGACATCCATCCAATACAAAATATTCACCCTAAATTATTGCGGAATTACTAATGTCGATATGAAAATTAATCCAACACAAATGAAACTAACCAACAAACTGGAAGAGTCTTGGTTTGTATTCGGTCGGTTTGACGTGTTTGAAACCACTGTCAGCTCCTCCTTTCATCAGACTGATTCCGTTAGGGAAGTAAGAGGAAAACATGGTCGACTCGTTGCTTTGGATCTAAAGGAAAGGTTGGTTATTAGATGAACGGTAGAACGAATTTGATTAAGATTCTGGACTGGATTGGTGTAAGAACAATTTTTTGAAGCTGTGCAAACAGAACAAGTTACTGCGGTTAGACAGGCAAACAGACAAACAGTCAAACAGACAAACAGACAAACAGACAAACATACAAACAGACAAATAGACAAACAGACAAACAGACAAATAGACAAACAGACAAACATACAAACAGACAAACAGTCAAACATACAAACAGACAAACAGACAAACAGTCAAACAGACAAACAGACAAACAGACAAACAGACAAACATACAAATAGACAAACAGACAAACAGTCAAACAGACAAACAGTCAAACAGACAAACAGTCAAACAGACAAACAGTCAAACAGACAAACAGTCAAACAGACAAACAGTCAAACAGACAAACAGTCAAACAGACAAACAGACAAACAGACAAATAGACAAACAGACAAACAGACAAACATACAAACAGTCAAACAGTCAAACAGACAAAAATACAAACAGTCAAACAGTCAAACATACAAACAGTCAAACATACAAACAGACAAACATACAAACAGACAAACAGACAAACAGACAAACATACAAACCTCGCGATGCTGAACAGGTTTGTCATTGTGGAAGGTATCCAGTTCAACAGTCTTGTACGCCACAGTACCGTACTCATCTTGAGTGGAATACTTTCCAATCCAGAAATGGAGGTCGTACTCCAGATCTTCCTCATCAGGGTTCCTGTGACCGAGGCCTAGTTAATACTTTAATAGATATCACGTGATCCGGTGATCTGTATTACGTGTTCTATACCGCGTGATTTGTAGAATGTCACGTGTTCTATACCGCGTGATTTGTATGTTGTAGAATGTCACGTGTTCTATACCGCGTGATTTGTACAATGTCACGTGTTCTATACCGTGTGATTTGTACAATGTCACGCGTCAACAGTCACGCATTGGACGTACAGAGGCCAGGTCAATAGTCAATACAGATAACTAAACGAAGTTCACATAATCAGGAAACTATGAAATTAAGATGACGGGTTGGATTGTAGTGTGTAACTGTAAGCTTTATACTTGGTAAAAGTATTCGGTCAGGTTTATGATTTATTAATAACAATACCCTAAATGCTTGTTTGAAGTTAAACAATTAGTAGTACCAACTTCCAAAATCTAATAACAAGAAATAGCAATTAGTCCAAACTTAAACAGTCTATGCTATTTATAGTGATAAATAACTACACCGTACTTGTATGTGTTGAGAACGATGTAGGAATCGCCGCTGAAGAACTTGCCGTAATCTTCCTTGGCCCACTTCTCTATCTTGAACTTTACAACCCTCCAGATCTCAAGACCCACTTCTTGTCCTGAATAACATATGAATATTTGAGTCGAGTAGACTGAAACTGAACAGTGTGATATGTAACGCGTGATCCGTACCGCGTGATCATCTGTACCGCGTGATCTAGCACGCATGAGACGTACCTGATCCATGCCAAGCAGGCTCTGCGTTAGCTGAGTCCTTTTTAACACCTTTCTCCACATCACTTCCAAAAAGAGCGAGGTTGCTGTCCTTCCAGTCGTACTTCTTTGGTTTGATCATTTTGTGAAGGACACGTTCCAAGCTAAGTGTGGGAGATTTAAACGTTTTTTAATTGCATCAATGTATTACTATTACAATTACTTAGATTTGGACTTAGGGAACAAAATAAACTGTGAACATGTTGTCAGCAAAAGCATGTTTAAAACAATCAAAAATTCCGAATGACCACGATACTGGATTAGGATACGATTTATAATTTTATAGTAAGCAAAACGTTTCTTATTTGCATTTGACACAATTTTTGAGCAAACAAAAAAAGTTCATTATAAAAATAAAATAACTTCAATTGGATAAAGTCATTTGACGCTAATTGCGTCAATGGAGGCACACTATATAAACATGAAATGAAAAGCAACCAGTTCAACGACTTAAAACAAGAACGTTCAGGATCAGGTACGCATGGATCTTTGTACTACAGAAAGCTTTTTTAAATCAAGAGAGTTAGGAAGAACTCCTCCGATGACGCAGAAATTAGATCTTAGAAACTTCAAATTGCATTATTTCACTGTATCTTACCGAATGTTGATACTAATTGTATTATACCTACAATACTATATTATTGCCATTACAATTTCACTACAATCTTTCAATAGAGCTCACATTTGAGTTTTGACCCTTAAATTAGATAATATCACGACGAACACGCATCATATTATTAGTTGGGGCAGTTTATATTATTATGAGTTGGGGCAATTTGAACAAATAAAGCTAATTTACAGACTCCAGTGTCAAGTGTGGTCAGAACTGTGAATTTGTTTTGCAGTGAGTGGAGACTCTCATTCTGTCCCCAGTAATCTATCATGATCGACCCACTCAAGAGAGAACGAAACAACTTTGAATCGATAGCAAAAATGTTGAACAGATTTTGTGTATTTCTTGATAGGACGCGGACGGAAACAACGTAAGGAAATAATCCTGGCTCTTGAAAAAATACATACTTTATACCAGCACGAAATGGCCTATCTCGCGTTTACAAGAGACCAGCAACGAATTTTGTGAACTTTCAACACTTTCAAGAAATGTGTGATATGCGCATCAGCCTCTTCCACGTACCGGCTGCAATGTCTATGTGCAGTAATTGAGGTATGTTTGAGGTATGTTTGAGTTATGTTTCTATGTCAGACCTGGACCAGTGAAAATGTGCAAAGCAAAGTAGCTGGCAATTGCACCAATAGAGAATTTGTTTATTCCGTGATAAAAAGCACATCAAAATCAACGTATTTTTAAAATATATAAAATATTTAAAAACGATAGTACCCCTGACCCAGCTGAATTCCTGTAGCGTAGGTATTTTCTGTCAGCAGTCTGGCCACTAATCAGTGTGTCAGCGCGGTTTATTTTGTGTCCTTGCTTAACATCGAACTTTGGATTTGTAGTAAGTTCTGGAATTTAGTCCGTGTCGAATGTCAACTTTCATTGAAAGTTGACATTTGTGGACGCACATTCGTCTTCAAGATGCAAAATTTCGATGTAGCGTCCTTGTCAACAACAACACTGAGCACATGATTAGGAAATTACTCAAGTTCAATACCGGATGTGTCTATAAGTATAGCTTTATCGTGTCCAAACCCAGGATACATAACATGAAGACTTTGTTGTAACGTTGAATGAAAAGCGTCAATAGGATAGCATTGGCAATAAATAAATACCAAGTCGCAATACATTTTTAAAAGAATAAAAAGACACCAGAAAGAACTCCACATTATATGTGTTGTAGTACGAATACAGCATGTGTGAAGTTGGCACGACCACCACAAGACTCATGCTTGCCAATATAATCCTCGCTACACAAAAGCTTTATGTTCTTGTACAAGCAATTAGACAATCCACTTCCTCTATTCCTTCATTGTATTGAATATTGCATGCTGTAGAGTGTAGAGCTGAGCTTCACAACTCCAACCACATGAGCATAGAACAAGTGAGGATCACTTTGTTAATAGCTCTGGCAGAATAATATCGAGCAGAATTGATCCAATTCTAAGTATGAGTAGATCATGATGGAGAGCTTTTCCGTGCAGTGCTTACTACTTACGTAAAACACATTTATTATTGAAAGTTAAATAGTTTTACCAGGCTTCTACACTCTACAGTGTATTATATTTTCCTATTTTCTATTAATATCTTGTGCTCAGTTGCCTTGCAGTTCCTGTTTCTTACAGTATATAATATTGTACATATTGTATACGTGAACAAAGAGTTGTCTGTACTAATGGAAAATTTCACCACATACAAAAGAAAATAAAAAGAACAACTTTAATTTTATTTTATTAAATTGTGTTCAACTTCAAGGTAAAAAATCTTTTATTCACTTAATTGGCTTTAATTTATTTGTATTTTGTTGGGCCAAATAATGCCATGATTTAATTTAAACTAGAGTGAAATTAATCAGGGTCGACTTAAATTAAATCCGGGAGTTTTTCTTCGTCAATATACATACTACAGAATACAAATCACAAAATACCAAGTTCGCAGAGACTGACTGAGTGACAAGGTAATACAAATTTTGAGAGTTTATAAGATTTTAAAATAAAAGTTTAATCTTAATAGATATAATGAACAGAAATGGAAAATTCCGGGACGGTTGAATTTAGCAAACGCACTAATATGCTCTATTCGTTTATAAATGTGCTGCAGATTAAGTATCAGAGGCAATAAGACAACCACTCAACGTAATAATGCTCGTAAACACTCAACAGTTTCTACGAGTTTATAATAACTCAATAAGTTTATTAAGAAGGGTAGCCGTTAATTTTACTTCCTGAACTCTGGCAAAAACGGAGGTACGTGGGATGCCTTAAATTGGGCCTCATAAGTCATACTCATAAAATTAAGAGCAGAAATAATAAAATAATATTATTCACATGATTCACATAAAAGTGAATAACATTATTATATATGACATGTAAATCATTTAACATATATGATTGCATTCTTAATTTGTATTATTGCTTGGAATACCCTTAAGTTTAAACCTAAAACAAGCACACGGAAAATTTGCACTAAAGCAAAGTGTGAATGTGCCGCCTCACTGTAAATATCACAAAGAACACAGCACACACACGGACGGAGCCTGCATTTTTAAGTTATATCTAGTTAAATGCAGTGAAACTATCGGACTACGATAAATGAGGACTTGCCACCCCATGGCAAAATTAAAATATATCGACTCTGTTATATTGTTTCCTCAAATTATTTGTTATATAGTAGTGTTGAAAGTATTAAAATATGACGGCTACTTACACTTCCAAAAAAGTATAAGCATAACCCACAACACCGGCTACTCAAGTGGGTTCAGCCGGAAGCGGGTCGGGGTTTACTTTTACGGACCATACCACGTGACCAGTAGTCACTAGTCACGTGACCAGCTAATCCGAGTGTGATTGGACGGCTGATTCAGAGGTGTGAACAGGTAAAACGTAAATTGATAGATGAAGCTGGCTGTTTGGTGGGCAATACTGTAAACTGTTTTGTGGGGTTCTGTAGAAATGGAAGGAGGTACGTGATGGGATGGAAAAGTTATTTGATTATGTGGCATTAGTCCGATTATCTGGTTTAGGTCAAACTTTGGGGAGGAATAATGATGGAAATAAAGATGTTGAGATGTGATGATGTTGTTTAATTATTGGGGAGGAATAATGATGGAAATAAAAATGCCGAGATGTGATGATGTTGTTTTTACACGTTATTGTCCACTTAAGTGATTATGGCCAGGAACTAATGAGCGGTTGGATATTATTCAATGGTATTGCTAAGAAAAATGTGTATTTTTTATAGCGATTAACCAATAATCAATCAAAGAGTCGAGTTAAATTAACAAATATGGTTCATCTCCCTATCGGTATCCACAATCCATATCTATAAATCTATGATAATGACAAGGTGATCAATACTTTTACTAACACGTGATAGCTTCCAACAGTAAAAATCGATATTGTTTAAAGATTTTGGCATAGGCCTTTTCGAGCGTGCTAAATCACTCTACAGTCGATCTTCGGGATCTTTCCAAAAGGGTCCCCGTCGAGTTAAAAAACGATTATCGACAATGCATTCGAACGTTAAAATACCAAACAAAAAAAATCAGAATGCAGAGGAAATTCCCTAGAATTATAGGTCTACACAATCAACAATAAACATTCGGAATTAAGTTCAAGTTCATGAAAATCTCCCGAGTTAATCGAGTAATAACTCGATCGTCTGAGCTACATCGTGATGGAGACCTGACCAAACTGACAGAATACGAAATCTGAGATGGATGAAGAAATAACCAATCGAATTTTGTTAATGCTGTATCGTGGGCCAGTGAATATAATGATTAGATTTCAGGAATTGAAATGGGGTGGTAATAAAAAACGCATGACTCATGAGGGTTTTGTGCGTCATTAACTGTAACAACAGTATTAAATCCGCTTACTGGGAATTATATGTAATTATATGCCCCTCGTAATTAGACGTATTTATCGTCGAATCTCCACACCATTTATATATATCATTATCAAATTAAAAAATGAATTCAACGGCGACCCATCTAAGTGTGTGAAATGAATGGAACACTGTCCTCAAATCGTATGGAGCTTTGAAATGTGCTGGAATGTAATATAAATACTGAATATTCTATACTTTTAGAATTAAAACAAGTCCTTCATATTATAGAGCGAGGGTGTGCAATTTAATATAAATCTGAAAGATTTCAAACATTAATATCATGTTATGTACAATAGCCTTATATGGGAATTTTGAAAATATAAATCAGTTTTGGTCACTATCTGTATCATGTTGAGGTTTGTTTAGCTAGCCGAGATCAAAATTCTGTTAAAATTCCCATACTAAATAGGGAATGACTCGCAAAATAGTCACTGCAATTCAGCTTATATCACGAAACAAAACCGAGCAACTATATTGAACTAAGTATTCCAAAGAATTCGCGTCGAAAGCGGTTCGTATTGTGCGATCGATCCTAATCACGAAAAACAATGTAATTGATGTGACAAGAAAGTATTTAGTCATTAGTGTTGAAAATATTTAGGTCTAATCTTCCATTGTCTTGTCAAACGTACTCAGTATTGGTCATCAAAAGTGCACAATTGAAATAATCTGCTAGCCATTGAATTGCTTTACTTTCGGAATAGCTCCCCGGTCTTTGCTCAATTGTATACAAAATAATTGTCTGTAGCATAATCGGATTTACATAAATAACACTTCTATTCCAGTTCCACTATAAAATATTACATTGTGCAAGTTATCTGCGTAGCAAGGGTAACCCAGCAAACCGCTTATACGTAATAAAAACAATCTACCTTATCGGACCTTATTTGGACGGACATTACATGAACGGACATAATTATGAACGGACATTAATATGAACGCTCGAAGGCATTCAAAACCATCAAAAATCCGAATTTTTTTAATTTCAGCAAATGATTTTTAAATCCATTTTTATACAGGAAGTAAGAAAAGCAGTCATTAAGCAGTAAAAATGTTAAAATATGTGTACATGATCAGTGTCTAATATCACATATCATCTTCATCAAATGGGTTTTCGTGCATGAAATAGTCCATGCTTAAACAAGCATCAGTGATTTCTAGCTTTATGGAAACCTTTTTTATTAAACTACCCCGGTCCTGCATTTCAGTGTTAACTTTAACAAGCCATTCGGCGTGAAGTGGTTTTATCTTAGACAACTTTAGGTTAACCTTAACATCACGTGGAGCTTTCCTCGCACTGTTTCATTACCTCCCCTCAGTAATATGAACTATAACAACGTCGGACAATGTCCTTGGCAACACGATTTACCGTAATATCTAGAGGCTGGAACAAGTTTGTCATGTTGGCGGGGACTAGCTCATGAACTATGTTGTTGAGAACCTTTCCGTCGTTAACTTACGGCACACAATAAATGTTCTCATAGTCATATTCTGGACAAAAAGTTCGAAATGGAACAATTTTTGAAAAAATTTCAACGGACTTTAACTTGGACGGACATTAATTGAACGGACTTTATTTGAACGGACATTAATATGAACGCTAGGGCCTCCAGCGTTCAAGTAATGTCCGTCCAAATAAGGTCCGATAAGGTAGTTAAGAATTAACAACTTGCTGACGAAATATATTAACACTGAGCGCTGTGTAAATCTAATATTATAAATATATATTATATAATATATTATTAAATTATAGATAGGAGAGCCTGCATTTCATTTCAAGTTAAATATCATCACTGATTTTCACTGTGTTAGTGTTACAAAGTAGAAAATCATTCATCAACCGTTGTTAAAACATAAAAATCTTCAAATTTCAACATGATGACATTTTATCCATGATGGTACATATGAAGTGTTCAAATGGTTAAGATATGGTTAAGATATGGTTAAGATATGAGCACTTGTAATTAAACGTGAGGCACTAATCTTACCTCGATTATTCGCAAGGATACTGCTAGTGTTATATAAGATAGCCTCTTTAATACAATAATACCTTGGCTTTTGAGGGCTACGGGCGATAATTCCAGACAGCTTGCTGGAGGGAACGCCCGGCCCGAAAAGAAGCCAAGTAAAGGTATTATCATGTGATACGTGCGCATAATACAATATAAGAATATAGTGTGTAATATATAGTTTTGAAACTTCCCACCAGCCAGTCCTAGGTGACTCGCAGTCTGTGCTGATAATACCTTCGCTTCTTTTGCGGGAAATTATCTAGGTAAATTATCAGCTCTCAGTGTCCACGAGTTTTAGTGCATATAATTCCCGGAAAATATTATAATTAATATAACTAGTAGTAGCAGGAACCCGTCTTTGCAGTTGCACTTAAAATGTTTGCAGGAATAACAAAAACTGCAACCATGTCGAAAATATTTTTCAAAATGATTACAAAAATCATGATCGATCAACTAATTTTATAACAGCATTAAAGCATTTGGGGCGTGCAAATGTGGATTGTGGAAATGGAACAAATCTTATCAACTCAGGCCAGGCCTGACAAAAGACAAAGCTGTAATATACGAGTATATATATTATAGAGGCTGCGTTACAAAATACACGTTCGAGACTTATAATAGATTATATATGAGCAATTTAACGTTGACTGGATTCTTCAGAATCATGTTTTAACCCATTAAACCCTCAAATAAATTTGTTGAACCACACGAAGGTTGACCTATTAAATGACACAGAGTATCAAACCAGTTTCTACTAAGAGTTCGATAATGAGACTCACTACCATATAAGAGATAATTGCCAGTACAGGTAGTGTGTTAAGAGGTTAAAAGGAGGGGGACAACAACAGCTGCTCCGGGAGGAACCCTGGTAATGATTGCGGAGGTTCCTTGGCAATGATAGTATATTGTAGTATATTATAGTATATTAATATGGTGTTAGTATAGTATTATACTTATATTATTAATACTGAAACCATGCCCTAATATACTCTTATAGAATATTATAGATAATAATGTGGGATAAAGAATGAAAGGTTTCTTGGTAGTGATAGATGATAATGTGAGGGGTAAAAGGAGGGGTACAACAATGAGGGGTACAACAACAGGGAACAACAATAAACAACAGGTGGTGAGCGGAGCTACCCTGGTAAGGGGTAATGATAGATAATAATGTGTGCTAAAGAATAAGGACGTCGTTCAATAGGATCGTATACTGCTAGCTAGTAGACGAAACTGATATTTGTTTTTATATATTATATACTTTTTATAAGTAGTGTAAGTCTCACGTGAAATAAGGAGCTTAACAAAGTGGTCCATAGCTTGCCGTATCTTATTTAGCATTCAGCAGTACAGTATAGTACTTACTGGGCGGCGCTCAGCCCGTCAGCCCATCATGTCTTTTAATGGACACTAACCCAGGTAGTACAGTGCATATAAAACAGTACAAGTATATATAATATAGACTCTAAACAGGGAGTCAGGGCCATGTTTCCTCTCGGATTTGTTAAAACTCATGGTATCACTAGAACTATAAGTATAAGGGTTCCATTTTGTACAAGGCACGTTCTCGGGTTAATACCAGATATGATTTTACTGAATGACGTGCTGCATTAATAATGTAAATTGTAAAACATCTAACAAACATCTTGACGGTTAGTTCATGTAAATATTTGCTTTGTTATTACCTGGTTCAGTCTAGAATTAGTCTAGAATTAGTCTAAAATTAGCTTCCGTAGAATAATATATCTGAAGGTTGTGTCACGTGCAAATTGTT